GGGGCGCTTTTCACGTTTACTGGCCATTTACATATCTTCTTTGGAGAAACGCTTATTCAAACCCTTTGCTTGCTTTTTAATTGAGTTGTTCGGCTTTTGGTTGCTGATGTTTAGGAATTCTTTGTATATTCTAGATACGAATCCATCATCAGATAAATGATCTGGAAATATTCTTCCCATTCTGTGTGTGGCCATGTTACCCTGCTGATAGTGTCTTTCCATGCACAAGTTTTAAAATTTTTCATAAAGTCCAATTTATCTATGTTTTTCTTTTGTTGCCTAGGACTTTGGTGTCATATCCAAGAAACTGCTGCCAAATTCAGTGCTGTGAAGATCTGCTCTTGTTTTCTTCTCAGAGTTTTAGAATTAGGTTTTACATCTAGCTATAGATCCATTTTGAGTTATTAATGAATCCCTACACTGGTTTCTGCCAAATAAAAGTTAGTTCTCTCATGTTCCTGCCATGCACAACCCCCTCCTTTACACCGACTGGAGATCGGCTCCCACACACATCTCCGTGAGTGCGTGGCCACTGCCTGATAAGGGTCTTATCTTTTCTAATCCAGAACATACTCCTACTATCCAGACTCCTGTACCTCTGTAATCCACTAGACTTTTACAAAACACAAGTGAGATCATGCCCCCCAACGCTTAAAATCCTTCACTGTCCACAAAATAAAAAATATTTAGCAAGGTATATAAAACCTGACCCCATCTACCTACGCAGCCTTATCTCCCTCTGCTGCCTCCAAACTCCTTGAGGCTCCCTCTTCCTTCTCTCCCCACTTACTGTCACGTTGGTAAGATGCCACCCATTCTTTTAAGATTCCGATTAAAATGGAATTTGTCTATGCCCCCTGCCCTCAGCCCCTGCTTCAGCCTATCAGTTCCTCTTCTGAGATCCTGCTATGCCTTGTACAGCATATACCATGGTTTTGTTACATCTGTTACGCTGGAATCTTCTATTAATGTCTTTCTTCTCCATACAAAAATGGTGAACTCTTCGAAGGCAGAGAGTGTGTATTTCTTATTTTTGTGCCTTCAGTCCCCTAGCACAGGGCCTAGGATGTAGAAAATGCAGGGTAAATATCTGTCACGTAAATGAAGAAAAGAACAAATGAATGTGAAAGAGATCAACTCTGAATCATCCTGAGAGCAGGGGTAGGAGGGACTGCCTTCCTCCTCCTCCCTCATCTGCTGACAGCAAATCTGCCTGCTCCATCCAAGCTCCTTCCTTCTCGCAGCTCATAAAGTCCTGTTCGCCTGCCTTCTTGGCTGCCTCACAGTCCAGTCTGATAAGGCGATCAGCCGGCTCCAGGTGTCCTCGAGGGGTAGGAAGGAGGAGGGAGAGGGTGGCGGTTTCCCTAGTGTTCTGCCAAGCTCTGCTCCAACATTCCCTAATATTCTTTGGCATTTCCATGACAAGATGCACACTGATGCCCCGAAACCTTAGAAATAAGAAAAAGATTTTCATAAAAATCAAAATCCAGGCAAGAAAAGTGGTAGACTAGAAGCCTGAGGACTTCCTGGTAGGAAGGATGACAGGAAATCACTGCCCAAAAATGCTTCTTGAAAATGAAAGACATGAAGGTGGTGATACCAGAAGCAGGATGGGGCCCTGGTCTGCTGCCAGCAGGGCATGCTGTGCCCTGCAATAGGAGGAATCAGCCGCTGTCCACATCTGTACCCACACCGTGAATGCTCACGCCAGGTGGCAGAGGTGGGCCTCTGGGTCTGAGAACTTTAGCAGTAGCCAGAGGGGCTGCCAACACCCAGGAAGACCAGGGAGCCTCCGAGCCAAGGAGATCAGCCGCTGGGACACCCATCTGGTAGGTTTCTCCAGGTCTGGACCCCTCACTTTGGAAGAGCTGTCTGTGATAACACTTGGCCAAGCAGCAATTCCCACTTCTCGCCCAGGAGCAGGTAGCAGCTAAAGAGCATTCTTGATCAGACTAACAGAGAATATCAAAAATAAAAACGAGGCCAGGCGCGGTGGCTCACGCCTGTCATCCCAGCACTTTGGAAGACTGAGGCCGGTGGATCACTTGAGGTGTCAGGAGTTTGAAACCAGCCTGGCCAACATGGTGAAACCCCGTTTCTACTAACAATATAAAAACTAGCTGGGCGTGGGTGGTGGGCATGGGTGGTGGGTGTGGGTGGTGGGTACCTGTGGTCCCAGCTACTCGGGAGGCTGAGGCAGGAGACTTTCTTGAACCCGGGAGGCGGAGCTTGCAGTGAGCTGAGATCGTGCCACTGCACCCCAACCTGGGTGATGGAGTGAGACTTGGTCACAAAAAATCAATGAATACAATAAAAATGAGCTTTCAGCTAAGAATCACCAAACATTTGAGAAATGCTAAAGAGAGAGAATTGCCACGCTGAACAAACTGAAGATCTTACACCGGCGACAGAGAAATGGAACAGGCAGCCCAGCGCTTTAACATACAGGTAATTTCTATTCTGTGGGAGATATATGAGAATATTATGCCCATGAGAAAAGAATCAGCTAGATATGCTGGAAATTAAAAAGCTGGATTGTTAAAATAAAAATTCAACAGCTGGGCCAAATAGCAGACTAGATGCAAGTGAAGAGTAAATTAAAACAGGAAGACTGGGTTGAGGAATTCTTTCAGAGAGCAGTTCAGAAGGACAGAGAGACGGAAAGCATGAAAGGAAAATTAAGAGACATGGCAGCAGATCTAGAAGCTCCAACGTTCATGTAACAAGAATTCTATGAGGAGAGAATGCAGAGACAAAGCTGTAGAGACTACCCAAAGAAAGGAATAAAGGAGAATAATTTCTCAGGGTATGAGAAACGCAGGAGTCTTCAGATGAAGAATACAACTGGGGCTTGGTACCGTGGCTCACGCCTGTAATCCCAGCACTTTGGGAGGATGAGGCAGGAGGATCACTTGAGCCCAGGAGTTCAAGAGCAGCCTGGGCAACACAGGAAGATCCCACCTCTACAGAAAAATGTTAAACATCAGCCAGGCGTGGTGGTATTTGCCTGTACTCCCGGCTACTCAGCCAGGCGTGGTGGTATTTGCCTGTACTCCCGGCTACTCAGGAGGTGGAGGCAGGAGGATGTCTTCAGCCCAGGAGTTCCAGGTTGCAGCGAGCGATGACCACGCCACAGCACTCCAGCCTGGGCACCAGAGCAAGACTCTGTCTCAGAAAAACAAAGCAAAACACTCATCTTACTAGCTACACGGGAAATGAAAATTAAAGGAACTGGATACCGTTTTCAACCATCAGAGAGATGAAAATGAAGAACAACAACATCACGTGTGGCTGAGGGTGCCGGGAAAGGTGCTCTCAGCTGAGGGTGCCGGGAAAGGTGCTCTCACAATTCACAGATCGTACTACAAGTATACAAAGCTTCGCTGCAGGGCAAATGGGCAGTAGTTACTAAAATTTTAAATGTATATAAACCTATAACCCAGAATCTGTCCTAGAGAAATACTTGCATATGTGCAAATGGGGGCATATTTTAAGATTTAGAAACAAACGATCTAGTGCTATACCTGTGGCGTGTTATACTACGGGATTCTGTGCATCAATTCCAGGGAATGAAGCAGTTCTATACACACTGACGTGAAAAAAGAAACCTAAAAAATTCCAGAGAATGAAGCAGGTCTATACACACTGATGTGAAAAAAAAAAATCTAAAAAATTCCAGAGAATGAAGCAGGTCTATACATACTGACATGAAAAACAAATATCTAAAATACATGTGGTTGAAAACAAAAAGCAGTTTTTAGAATAAAGCGTAAGGTATGAAACCATTTAGTTAAAACAAAACAAAGCAAAACCAAAACCATTAACTGAAACTATAGATTTATGTAAATACATACATAAAAATCCGGAGCGATATCCATTAAACTGATAACAGTTACCACCTCTGGAGAGAATAATGGGATTCTGAGGTCTAGGTAAAGGGAACTTAGGCTTCATCTGTATATATATTTGACGCCTCCCAGGTTCAAGTGACTCTCCTGCCTCAGCTTTCCAAGTAGTTGCGATTACAGGCGCCCGCCACCATGTCCAGATAATTTTTGCATTTTTAGTAGAGACAGGGTTTCAACATGTTTGTCAGGCTGGTCTCGAACTCCTGACCTCAGGTGATCCACCTGCCGCGGCCTCCCAAAGTGCTGGGCTTACAGGTGTGAGCTATAGGGCCCGGCCATGGCTCACTGTATTTTCTAAAGACCATCACAGCAATCTATCCCATCCCACGTGCTTTTTGTAACTATGTGACTTTGACATTCCTCCCGTTAGCATTAGTGGGTGGGAGAAGACTATGTTCCTTCCTCTTGAATCTTAGCAGCCTTGCGACTTCGGTAGAAGTGATGCTATGAAATTTCCCAGGCTTGCTTCTCTTGTGACGCTCATTCTTGGAACCAGCCACCTTAACATGAGGAAGTCCAAGAAGCCCGTGGAGGACAACAGAGAATCCCAGCCCAGGCCTGGCTGAGCTCCCAGCTGACAGCAAGTACCAAGGTGCCAGCCATGAGAGGGAGCCAGTGCATTCTCCAGTCCCTCTTGAGCTGCCTCGGCTAATGCTGCACGGAGCAGGGATGAGCTGGTCCCCTGAGCCAGGCCAAATTATACACGCAAAACAATTATTGTTTTAAGCTGCTAAGTTCTGTGCTGGTTTGTTACAAAGAAATAGATACCTAGAACAGTTTCCCTCACAAATGGGGACAGCTGAGAGTTGTCCATATACACAACTGCAACTATCTACGATAGGCAGCTTTAGAAGACACGGGAAGGGGTATCATGGGGGATGCCTGCACCAGACAGAGTCAGATCAGGTAGCATCTGAGGTTTCTTCACACAGTAGGATTCTGCAGTGAACATGCTGAGCTAAGTGCTTAAGCACCTCCTAGCACCAGGTCCTTTTCTGAAAGCAAGAGCACTTCCGCTGGGGACGGTTTACCTTTCGGAAAGCTGCCGGATCTGTGGAATCCCCATGGACTTTTCCTCCGGGGACAGTTTACCTTTCAGAAAGCTGCCGGATCTGTGGAATCCCCATATACTTGTGGAAGTGTTCCAGGACATTCATCACACCCTGAAGGAGATTAGCAACTTCTCCGTATTGTCTTCGCCTGGTCATGGCTCTGCAAGGAAAGAATAAGTTTAAAAGTCTAGAAAAACACTAAGAACACAAGATACAGACACAGAACAACCTACTCTAGCTCTCAAACAGACATCAACTCGGCAGAATCAACGTTCACCGAGTGCTGAGTATATAAGCTGCTGTGTGTTGTGGGAGGCAAAAAATAGGATCTGGTCCAAATTCTCAAGGTGACATCATACAGTAGGCAGAGAGTCAAGTACACATCTAACTAGTATAAAACAGGATGAACTATGTCCTAAACAGAAGTGCACGTTATGTGCTACGGCGGGAAGAACGTGTGAGTGATTAATTCTCATTCGGTGTGGGGACAGAATCTGGGAAGATGATGGATTTAGAATTTGGGTTGGATATTTTGGGATTAGCAAGCTTGGGACAGAGAACAGGGATAGGGATGTTACTATCTGAGGATTACAGCCCATGAGCAAACCAAACACATCTTTCCAGGACAAAACAAAGGGCATGGCTGGGCGCGGTGGCTCACGCCTGTAATCCCAGCACTTTGGGAGGCTGAGGCGGGCGGTCATGAAGTCAGGAGATCAAGACCATCCTGGCCAACATGGTGAAACCCCGTCTCTACTAAAAATACAAAAAATTAGCTGGGCGTGGTGGCAGGTGCCTGTAATCCCAGCTACTCGGGAGGCTGAGGCAAGAGACTTGCTTGAACCTGGGAAGTGGAGGTTTCAGTGAGCCAAGATCGTGCCACTGCACTCCAGCCAGGGCGACAGTGTGAGACTCCCATCTCAAAAACAAAAACAAAAACACAGAAAGGGCCCAGCTTTAAATATTAACTGAAATCTGCAGGTTCTGAGGCATCTGTGTCACAGACCTCTACTTTCCCTACTGCTAAGGTTAATGTCGCTTCAATAAAAGGATGCTGATAAAATCAAGTTACACACAGGGAGGAAATATAAACTATTAGATCTAAATTTTTCATTAGGGTTGGGCTATTTTATTACATTTATAATTTATGATTTTCCATAAGAGGCATTGAAAAAGACAGGATCAAGTTCAAGCCAAGGTGTTACACTGCTACCAACATTGCTATCACCGCCTGTTCCCACCAGCGCCTGTTCTCACCACCGCCTGGTCTTAACCACTGCCTGGTCTCACCACCGCCTGTTCTCACCACTGCCTGGTCTCACCACCGCCTGTTCTCACCACTGCCTGGTCTTACCACCACCTGGTCTTAACCACCACCTAGTCTCACCAGCGCCTGTTCTCACCACTGCCTGTTCCCACCACCGCCTGTTCCCACCACCGCCTGTTCTCACCACTGCCAGCGCCTGTTCTCACCACTGCCTGGTCTTAACCACTGCCTGTTCTCACCATCGCCTGTTCTCACCACTGCCTGGTCTTAACCACCGCCTGGTCTCACCGCTGCCTGGTCTGTTGGTTTGGTGGACACCCACCACCCAAGAAAGAACAAATGTGACTGCCCTCTGGTCTCCCTCTGGCCCCTGCTCTCACTGCTCACAGGGGAGTGGACCGGGGGTCCCTGGAGCTCATGCAATACCTAGAGAGGTCAGGAAGAGGCCTGCCCCTCCTCCTCTTTCCCTGAAGGCACTGTCCCACTTCCCCCACCCAGGACTTCGAATGCTGTATCTCAGTTTCTATGAAGAGGAGCTTTCCCTGTCCACACATGGAATCACACTGAGGCTGGAGCAGGGGGAGTCCCCAGCCTGAGATGGGCCACAGAGGTGAGCTGGAGTGTCAGAATCTTGCTAGTAAAGGAGGCTTTAGACTGCTTCTCTGTAGTAAATAACCAGCTCTTCCTTCTAATACTATTTCTAATGTTCTGATGTATCATTCCCTCTACAAACCAAACGGAAAGCTAATAAAAAGTAGATTGAAAAAAAGTGGTTTGAATGACTGAGTTCTGTCTCCTATATAGGGTCTCTTTGATGACAGCGCAACTCAGCCCAACGCAAGTAGAAACTCGTCGAGGCAGAAGCAGCCGGGAGTGAACGTGGGCCTGCGTCCCTCTGTCTGCCTTGACGGTACAGAGCTGCAGCCTGAAGACGGGCCATATTCTCGGAATGGTTCTGAGAGGCTTCCTGGGTCCCCTTCTGACCGGCTGCCAGTGTTCGTTAGGTTTTGAACACCAGAGGGCACAAAGCAAAAACGTGACTGGACACTTGAAGCCAATTTGCAGAAGGTGGGACAGGATGGTGAGACTTTCCCGGCTGAGAAGTAAACAGGCCGACAACACCATTTCTCTGTGTGACACATTTCCCGTGGCCCCAGAAGAGAAAGCTGGCATTGCTTACTCGAGGGAGTCGACACCTCCTGCCAGCATGTGCAGGTGGTTCAGCGTGGTGATTGAGGTGGTCAGGTGGCGTTTGGCGTGATCTAATTGCTTAATGTCACGGGTGATTTCTTTCACCTAAACATTGAAAAACCAAAGAGAGAAAAGAAGACGGTTAAGAAGGATGTAAAACACTTCCGCAAGTAGCTCCCTAAGAAACGAATGCAGATGAAGCAGGGAAAAATCTCAGGTTAGCAAACACTCTCACAATACAAAATCAAAATAATTTCCAACCAGGCATTTAATGTGGCATCTCTTTGGACTTTACTTGGGGTTATAAAACCTTCAGCTGCGAGCATGAAATGAACTTTATTTTTTACCCCAAATGAAATGATCCAAATGGCAATTCAGTATTGAGCACACAGGACAGAGGAGGCAGGCACAGCACCGTTCCTCCTGAACAAGGTGAGGAAAGTGTGCCTTCTGGTGCTGACGCCGCTGGCCGAACAAAACGCCTCAGTCAGCACCTGGCATTCACACGGTCTTTCCCAACGGAACGAGGGCCTGAGCCTCCAGCAAAGACTTTCAAATCTCAAGAAGACTGAAACAGAAGCCCTGTGACACACGTTTAACATGTAAGTTACCGGGAGGGCAGGCGCAGTCTTCAGGGAGTGAGAAGGCAGTTTGGGGAATAAGAACCTGACAGTGTTGTTTCAGCAGGTGCAAGAGAAAAGAAGCTGTCTCCGGGAATGCAAGTGTATTTCAGTCACCAGAAAAGCATATTCAATAGAGAAGTTGGAAAAATTCCCCAACTTTACTAACACCCAGGTGAAATCATCCACTGTGTTTCTTGGTCCACACTAAGAAACTTTGTGTGTGTGTGTGTGTGTGTGTGTGTGTGTGTGTGTGTTTTATCACACCACATTAGTTTTAATTACGTACAAAGATCTAACATGTCACGCACGGACCATTTCACCCACTGCTCTGTTTGGCTGCCAGTCTCGTCTCTCTCTTCCGCAATGGTGAGGCGGGTACCCCTTCCTCGGGGAAGAAAAATCCATGGTTTGTTGCCAATAGTGAAAATGTTGGAAAGTCGAGTGGCAAAGCTGTTGCCATTGGCGTCTTTCACATGAACCACGTCAAAAGATCCAGGGTGCCTCTCTCTGTTGGGGTCACACCAATTCTTCCTAGGTTGGCACCTCCAGTCACCACACACAGCTTACCAGTGTCGAACTTGATGAAATCAATAATCTTGCCAGTCTCCAAATCAATCTGAATGGTGTCATTCACCTCGATGAGGGGTCAGGGTAGCGGACGGTGCGCGCATCATGGTCACAAGATGAGGTGACCATATCCTTTTTTGTGCCCACAAAGATTTTTCTCACTTTGCACAACTTGTACTTGGCCTCCTCGGGTGTAATACGATGTACAGCAAAGCGACCCTTGGTGTCACAGATCAAATGGAAATTCTCGCCGGTCTTGCCAATGCTGATGACGTCCATGAACCCAGCAGGGGAGGTTGTATCAGTTCGGACCTTGCCATCGATCTTAATGAACCGCTGCATGCAAGTCTTCTTTCCTTAAGTCTGTTCCTTAGGAAAATGATGAGGGGGAGACACTCTCTCAACTTGGGGGACCGTGGACGGACTAGGAGCAAACACACCAGTCCATTTATCCAGCACCCAATGCTTTGGAGCTGCCATGCGCTTCAGACGCTTTTTGGCACCACGAGCCATGGCTGCATTAGGCAAGGAAAGGGGACCTCCGTCTTCCGGTGCACGCAGCGAAACTTTCTCAAGAGCAATTTGGTTGCCCAGGTTCTGTGATACCTGGAAGGAAGGGACTGCCCTGGACACCAAGCACAAACACTGCAGTCACGGGATAGATGCATCCCACTAAAGGGAGAAACTCGGCAGTGAGTTCATGGGCCCCGTGAACTCATAAAGGTTACGACCTGCCCAGCTCAAGTCCACACCCACAATCCTGCAAGCCTCACCTGGATCTCAGCTGTAAAAAGCCTCTTTCATGGTGACTTCCCAATCAAGCCTTCCTTCCTTCTACAACCCCCAAACAACCTCTGTTTCCACTGAATTAAAAAAAAAAAGAAAGTTTAAGACCCACCACTACTTTACCAAATACTTGAATTTGAGGCAAAAAAAACAACCCAGGAGTGGTGTCACAAGCTGGATATACAAGGCTGAAGACTGGCCCTGTAATCTGAGCACCCACTTGCCGATCTGAAATCAGCATCCTTTTTCCTACAAAACAATCTCTGTATCTCTTCCAGGGTTTTTAGCTTTGGTCTAACATAGGGAGTCTTTATTTTTTATTTTTATTTATTTATTTATTTATTTATTTATTGAGACAGAGTCTCGCTCTGTCGCCCAGGCTGGAGTACAGTAGTGCGATCTCGGCTCACTGCAGCCTCCACCTCCCAGGCAAGCGATTCTCTGCCTCAGCCTCCGGAGCACCTGGGATTACAGGTGTGCACCACGACGCCTGGTTAATTTTTGTATTTTTAGTAGAGACACAGTTTTGCCATGTTGGCCAGGCTGGCCCTGAACTCCTGGCCTCAAGTAATCCGCCCTCCTTGGCCTACCAAAGTGCTGGGATTACAGGCGTGAGCCATGGTGCCCGGCCGCATCGGGGGTCTTTAACCACCGTGTTCAAAGTCACAGTCATCTTCAACTCTTCCTGGTCCCTGCATCATTAACTCCTAAATATTCTTCCTCTGCTTCATCTCAGGAATCTATCCCTGCTCTCTACTCCTCGTTCAGGCCCTCACCGCTCTGCACTGGAGCTGACTGGTCTCTGTATTCCCAGGCTCTCCCATCACTCCCCATCCCACAGCCTGTGTTTCTCTAGACAAACTGAACCGCAAATTTTTCCCTAAACAAAGCCTTCAATGGCAGGGCATGCCAGGGGTACTCAGATAAAACCGACACGAGACCACCCGTGAGACAGAATGCCCATGGTTGATTCGCCTCAACTGTTGCCCATGGGCAGCGAAAACGGGCAGAGCTGAAGCGGGAGGTTTTAGAGTCAGACAGATCCAGGGCTGAACCCCAGCTCCACCACTCACCAACACTGCATCCTAGAACAAGTTTCTCAGCCTCACGGAGTCTCAGTTTTCTCATCAATAAGATGGGTAATCACAGAGATAATAATGATCCTAAAACCTAGTTCACAAGGTTGTTGTGAGGGCTAAATCAGAGTGCTGGTGCAAAGCAGCCAGCACAGAGCTGACACTGAACGAGCTCAAGAAAGATCACGTCTCCCATGCAGGGAGGCCCCTGAAACTACTGCCACGGAATGACAGATGAAATGCTCCCGATTACCGTAAATACAACATCGCATGCAGGACTGTGTAAAGACAATGCCAGGCTGGGCTACCAGAATGAGCCAACAGCACGTGATGTGCTTCCCCCTGCAGAGAGCCTATGAACGGACGTGCAGTCAGGGAGGTTTCACATCACCAAGATTCCTGTCCCAGAAAAGCAGATGTTCATAGCTCTGGGAATGGAATGTGACCCTTGTGGAGAGCCTATACATGGACGCATGGGGGGGACGCCTGTTCATATGGATAAGATAGGGCTATAAACGCCTTCATCTTCCACGGCTCTTCTAGGCCTCTTTAGGGTTAAGGCATACTCCCTTCTGAGAATTTCTGGTCCAACCGGTTGTCTAGCTTCATATCCTGTTTCTCTGGATTGTTTGTAACCAGGTTTTGCTGCAACTGTTACTGCTGATTAATATCTCACTAATCATAGGTTATGGAAAGACTGTGTCCCCATTTTAAGGCTCTGTTAGAAATTGCTGATGCACACACTCTATTGTAAATTCTTATCTGTATACTGTACTTCTGCATACAGATGTTATGTTAAAGAATTACTTCATCCCCATGTGACCATCTCACCTCATAATCAAATGACCCCAAATCCTTCACTAACCTACCCCCGGCCTCACTAAACTTAGTAATAAATGTTGGCATATCCAGTGCATTGTTGGCACAGTGGGACCAGAAGGCGGTGACCCCCCTGGACCCAGATTTCACTATCTTGTGTGTGTCTATTATTTCTCGACCTGCCGATCCGCCTGGGAACAAAGAGAGAGCCCCGATGCATTGCAGGCTGCTGGCCAGATCCCGCAATACCCCCCTCACTCCCACCACTTCCTCCCTTCAGCACAGCACTGTGCAGGAAAGCAAACTGCTTTAAAATAAGACGTCTCATAACTTGGGAGCAAACTGTCACTGCAAACCCCCTCGGTTGGAAGAGGAAGTATACTCCAGAACTCAGATTAGCATCATAAGGATATCAATAAATGCAATCAGCTCCAGCAAAAGCAGCGTGGGACGCTCTCACTGATCACCACGCTTTGAGGCTCCTGAGTGCTGCTGGGTGTGGTGCCTCCTTGGGGAAGGACCACAGAAAATCCAGGTCCCTAGAATATGCTCAGTGCTCTTCATATGTTTAATTTTCACAACAACCCTGTGAGGCAAATACCATTACTCCTATTTTACAGTTGACGAAACTGGAATTCTGAGACAATTGAGAGACAAGACACTACTGAGTCCGAATCTGAACCCAGGATCCAGCACTTCCCAGTGCCTCCCACGGGGGAGGAGAGTCTGAACGCAGGATCCAGCACTTCCCAGTGCCTCCCATGGGGGTGGAGAGGATGAATGAATGCTGGATTCTCGGTCTTCAGAGCAAGCTTCTGAGCACATCACTGGGGGACACAGATTCGTCAAGGGGGAACTCAACCAAAACCACACACATGGATCATGGGCAGGGGATACCCCTCCTCCCCGCATCCCTCCCTCTTCCCAGCTCCAGGACCCTTCTCAGTGTGCACCAAGCTACACACCACACATCTTGATGGAGAAATGTGTGGTACCAATACCAAGAGATGTTAGAGAAAGGAATATCCAAAATGACTAGGAAACTATTTTCAGAAAGGAGAAAAAAAAATTGCAGCCGGGCACGGGGGCTCACGCTTGTAATCCCAGCACTTTGGGAGGCCGAGGCAAGCGGATCATGAGGTCAGGAGATCGAGACCATCTGGCCAACGTGGTGAAACCTCATCTCTACTAAAAATACAAAAATTAGCCGGGTGTGGTAGCGGGTGCCTGTAATCCCAGCTACTCGGGCGGCTCAGGCAGAGGAATCGCTTGAACCTGGGAGGCAGAGGTTGCGGTGAGCCGAGATCGGACCAATGCGCTCTAGCCTGGGTGACAGGGCAAGACTCCATAAGAAGAAGAAAAAAAAAAAAGTTGCCTGTTTAAACCCAGGGCTGCAAACGCAGGGCAGCAGAGATGGTGAGTCACTGCTGACCAGCAGCTCCCCTTGAATTGATCTGAATGCATTCCTAGGGGCTTGCTTTAGAGATGCAGATGACTGTGGCTGGCAGGAGGTGCCATTATTAGAAAAAGCTCCTTATTAGAATGCCCAGATGAGAAGCTCACTTCCCCTTTTGGTGCAAAAAGGTTAGGAAGAAACCAGAACTCACCATTTGCTCTGACTTTTCAGCTTTGTCTTTGATGTCTTTGATTTTGCCAAAGAGCTGCTGGATGGCTTTCTGAGCCTCTTCCAGTGCCTAGAGTAAGAGAAACACATGAACAACAAAAGGCAGCTGGAGACGGCACCGGTCACTACGCTGTAACCCACGCTGGGCACACTGGAGACAGCACCGGTCACTACGCTGTAACCCACGCTGGGCACACTGGAGACAGCACCGGTCACTACGCTGTAACCCACGCTGGGCACACTGGAGACAGCACCGGTCACTACGCTGTAACCCACGCTGGGCACACTGGAGACAGCACCGGTCACTACGCTGTAACCCACGCTGGGCACACTGGAGACAGCACCGGTCACTACGCTGTAACCCACGCTGGGCACACTGGAGAAAGCACCGGTCACTACGCTGTAACCCACGCTGGGCACACTGGAGACAGCACCGGTCACTACGCTGTAACCACACTGGGCACACTGGAGACAGCACCGGTCACTACGCTGTAATCCACGCTGGGCACACTGGAGACAACACCGGTGACTACACTGTAACCACACTGGGCACACTGGAGACAGCACCGGTCACTATGCTGTAACCCACGTTGGGCACACCGGTCACTACGCTGTAACCCACACTGGGCACACTGGAGACAGCACCGGTCACTATGCTGTAACCCACGCTGGGCACACCGGTCACTACGCTGTAACCCACACTGGGCACACTAGGGACAGCACTGGTCACTACGCTGTAATCCACGCTGGGCACACTGGAGACAACACCGGTGACTACGCTGTAACCACACTGGGCACACTGGAGACAGCACCGGTCCCTATGCTGTAACCCACGTTGGGCACACCGGTCACTACACTGTAACCACGCTGGGCACACTGGAGACAGCACCGGTCACTACGCTGTAACCCACACTGGGCACACCGGTGACTACGCTGTAACCCACGCTGGGCACACTGGAGACAGCACCGGTGACTACGCTGCAACCCACGCTGGGCACACTGGAGACAGCACCGGTCACTACGCTGTAACCCACACTGGGCACACCGGTCACTACGCTGTAACCCACGCTGGGCACACCGGTCACTACGCTGTAACCCACGCTGGGCACACTGGAGACAGCACCGGTCACTACGCTGTAACCCACGCTGGGCACACCGGTCACTACGCTGTAACCCACGCTGGGCACACTGGAGACAGCACCGGTCACTACGCTGTAATCCATGCTGGGCACAAAAGAAACTTCCATAAAGCTCTCCTGACTCGTCGTGCTTATGCCAACGATTTTTCTGTACAGCATCTGGTATCTGCGTACAGGCAAACACTCAGGACTCTTACCAACGTGCCTCGCAAAGTTTTAACTTAAAACTAAATGATTCCCCCCATCTCAGTGATTACTGTCCACGTTACTGATAACAGCAAATAGGACAAGTATATCTCTGTGTGTGCGTGTATGCAAGCAACCATGCGCAGTGACCTTCAAAGCCTCCTACAGAGGGACGGGGTAGCTCTAAATTGGGGCGAGGGAAAGCTCTGGACTTGGAAGTTCCAGATTGTGCCTTCAAAAAAGCCTGAACCGTGAATGGGGACTCCAGAACTGCAACAAATCTTAAAGACTTTCATAGTAAGTCATTTGAAAACCAATGAAATGCACTTAGAAAGGAACGCTGGGCGGGGCACAGTGGCTCATGCCTGTAATCCGAGCACTTTGGGAGGCCGAGGCGGGCGGATCACGAGGTCAGGAGATCGAGACCATCCTGGCTAACACGGTGAAACCCATCTCTACTAAAAATACAAAAAATTAGCCAGGCGAGGTGGCGGTACCTGTAGTCCCAGTTACTCGGGAGGCTGAGGCAGGACAATGGCATTAACCCGGGAGGCGGAGCTTGCAGTGAGCCAAGATCATGCCACTGCACTCCAGCCTGGGAGACAGACAGAGCGAGAATCCGTCTCAAAAAAAAAAAAAGGGGGGGGGGCACTAAAAGCTAACGGTGGCTCACACCTGTAATCCCAGCACTTCAGAGGCTGAGGCAGGAGGATTGCTTGGGCCCAGGAGTTCAAGACTAGCCTGGGGAACATGGCGACACTCAGTCTCTGGAAAAAAAAAAAAAAAGTTAGCTAGCCAGACATGGTGGCACACGCCTGTAGTCTCAACTACTTGGGAGGCTGAGGTGGGAAGATTACTTGAGCCTGGGAGGTCAAGGCTGCAGTGAACTGTGATCACGCCACTGCACTCCAGCCTGGTGACTGAGCGAGACCTTGTCTCAAAAAACAAGCAAAAAGCTAATGGTGGCCGGGCGCGGTGGCTCAAGCCTGTAATCCCAGCACTTTGGGAGGCCGAGATGGGCGGATCACGAGGTCAGGAGATCGAGACCATCCTGGTTAACACAGTGAAACCCCGTCTCTACTAAAAAATACAAAAAACTAGCCGGGCGAGGTGGCGGGCGCCTGTAGTCCCAGCTACTCAGGAGGCGGAGGCAGGAGAATGGCGTGAACCCGGGAGGCGGAGCTTGCAGTGAGCTGAGATCCGGCCACTGCACTCCAGCCTGGGTGACAGCGCGAGACTCCATCTCAAAAAAAAAAAAAAAAAAAAAAAAAAAAGCTAATGGTGAGCCCAGTATTTCCACTGACATAAACACCTGCAAAGACGGATGCTATACAATAAAAGTTTTACAACACGGCTGCAGCTTCTGCCAGGAGGGGAAGCAACATGAGGGCAGTTGTGAGACATGGAGACCAGAAAGTGTCTGTGAGCGCCAGCAGCCCACGGACGTGGAGACCATACGCACTGGACTGTCCGCTGAACTGCCTGTGACTAAACACTGCCTACAGCTGAAGTGTCTGTGAGCGCCAGCAGCCCACGGACGTGCACAGACCATACGCACTGGACTGTCCGCTGAACTGCCTGTGACTAAACACTGCCTACAGCTGAACTGTCTGTGACTAAACACTGCCTACAGCTGAAGTGTCTGTGACTAAACACTGCCTACAGCTGAAGTGTCTGTGACTAAACACTGCCTACAGCTGAAGTGTCTGTGAGCGCCAGCAGCCCACGGACGTGGAGACCATACGCACTGGACTGTCCGCTGAACTGCCTGTGACTAAACACTGCCTACAGCTGAACTGTCTGTGACTAAACACTGCCTACAGCTGAACTGTCTGTGACTAAACACTGCCTACAGCTGAAGTGTCTGTGACTAAACACTGCCTACAGCTGAAGTGTCTGTGAGCGCCAGCAGCCCACGGACGTGGAGACCATACGCACTGGACTGTCCGCTGAACTGCCTGTGACTAAACACTGCCTACAGCTGAAGTGTCTGTGAGCGCCAGCAGCCCACGGACGTGCACAGACCATTCGCACTGGACTGTCCGCTGAACTGCCTGTGACTAAACACTGCCTACAGCTGAAGTGTCTGTGAGCGCCAGCAGCCCACGGACGTGCACAGACCATTCGCACTCTAATAAAGACGACGAATGCCTGCGGCAGCTATAGTACTAGCCACGAGTCGGCATCTCCTTAACTCACTCCGTCAGTCACTCAGTGAGTATTTACTGAATGCCTCCCATACGCCAGGCTTGATTCCGAGCACGGGGAATCCAGTGGGAAACAAGACAGTATGGTCCCTCTCTCTGTCCTCAAGGAACGAACTTACTTGGAGAAGTAAGTAAGGGGGAGGAGATCCTCTAAAAACAACAAAATAAAGAAACAAGTGTGTCTTTACTTTGGATACACAAGTGTCCCTAAGTGTGACAGGTGTGGTGAAGGACTTATGCAGAGTGATGAGAATAAGGGAGATGGTGGTCATGGAAGGTCTCCTGAGAAACGGCACCCGAATCAGGGCTGCAGGATGAGGAGGTGTCAGAATTTGTAGATTTGGAGTAAGAGGATTTTTTTTTTTTTTTTTTTTGACATGGAGTCTCACTCTGTCGCCCAGGCTGGAGTGAGTGGCGCAATCTCGGCTCACTGCAAGCTCCGCCTCCCGGGTTCATGCCATTCTCCTGCCTCAGCCTCCCGAGTAGCTGGGACTACAGGCGCCCGCCACCACACCCAGCTAATTTTTTGTATTTTTAGTAGAGACGGGGTTTCACCATGTTAGCCAGGATGGTCTTCATCTCCCGACCTTGTGATCCACCTGCCTTGGCCTCCCAAAGTGCTGGGATTACAGGCGTGAGTCTAGAGTAAGAGATTTTTAAGCAGAGAGAACAGCAAATGCAAACACCCTGACAGAGAAAAGACCTCTATGTTTTGGAGGTCCAAAAAGAGAGACAGTAGGTGGTAGTGTAATATCGCAGTGGGAAGTGTCTAGAAATAATCTGGAGAGGTAGGCAGGAGCCAGGGCATGGAGGGGCTCAAAGCATGAGGATTCTCGTCTAAGTGCAAATGAGAAGCCACTGAAGGGTTTTAAACAAGGGACAGATGCACAGTTTACTTGTACAAAAGACTGTCCTGGCTGTTATGTGGCAAGAGAGTTGTGCAGGGGCAGGAGGGAAAGCAGGAGTGAAAGGCCCGTGAAAAGTTGCTACAGCTGTCCACACGAGACGGTGGAGGTCTAGACAAGGCAGCCGGTGCTGACGAGAAGACGCGGAGCGATGCAAGGTTTCTAGGAAGCTCTGACGCACAGGACTCACTCACAGACGGACTCTTTGTGGGGAACGAGGGTGAGGGAAGAACCAAGGATGACTCCCGGGTTTTGGTTCACTGACTGAACCAGGGAATGCAGGAGGAGGACAGGTCCGACAGGCAGGTGTGTCGTGGTGGCTGGGAGTGAAGAGTCCCATCTGCAATACGTTAAGGGCGCCTGTGCTGTGGCTGGAATGTGTCCCCAAAGTCATGCATTGGAAACATAATCCCCAGTGCAATGGTGTTGACAGGCGGGGCCTTTACCAGGCGACCAGGTCATGAGGGGTTTGCCCTCATGAATGAACGAATGGCACCATCCCAAGAGTGGGCTCTTGATAAAAGGATCTGTTCAGCCACTTTCTCATGCATGTGCACACTTTCTTGCCTTCTACCTCTGCCATGGGACGACGCAGTGAGAAGGCCCTCTCCGTGGGATGACGCTGTAAGAAGC